TCAAAGCTGAGTATCCGACACTTAAAATGAATATGATGAACCTAAACAGTGAAACGATGTTCGCTCTTTCTGCTCGGACACCATTAAAATCAAACTTTTCGATAAGTTCAATTCTACCTGAGACTATGCAAACGTCGCCTTCACAGTCACCTTCACCATGTCACACTCCAATTGGATCAGAGCCTGAAGATTTAACTGATACAGAGTCAGACTTAGATGTAACTGGCACTCCACCGCCTCAAATCAATGAATGCAATAACACAAATGATAGCCACGAAACTTGTAGTAATAAAGATAAGTCGTTAGAGGATTGTGAAACCAGCAGCACAAGTGACGAGAAGAAAGATTCGAATGATGGAAAAAAGTCGAATGAAAAGCCGAGTTATTCATACAATGCTCTCATTATGTTGGCAATCAGACAAAGTCCTGAGAAAAGACTGACACTTAATGGAATTTATGAGTACATCATGAAAAACTTTCCTTATTATCGTGAGAATAAGCAAGGCTGGCAAAACTCCATTCGTCATAATCTTAGTTTGAATAAGTGTTTTGTAAAAGTTCCACGTCATTATGACGATCCTGGTAAAGGCAATTACTGGATGTTGGATCCATCAGCTGAAGATGTCTTCATTGGTGGATCAACTGGAAAACTAAGAAGACGATCGACAGCAGCTTCAAGATCCCGTTTGGCAGCTTTCAAACGGTCACTAGTTGGTCCCATGTTTCCATCTCTTGGATATCCACAATTTGGTCAATTTTTGTATCCTTCACCAGCAGCAGCGCTTGCACAAATGTATAGATATGGACCATATGCACCACAAATTGCACCAAAACCTGCCTTACCACTTCCTTTACCTCTTGGTGCTGGTTTCGGGATTGATCGTTTAATAGGAACATCAAACTCTTCACCAAACTCTTCAGCCGAGCTCTACCAAAGATTGCAATATCATCAAATTCTTCAGCATCATGCTGCTGCCGTTCAACATCAACAGCAACAAGCAGCAGCAGCTGCTCATATTCATCATCAACAGCAGCAACAACAACAATTGAGTCCAACTCCAAATCATGAAACTTCAGCACCACACATTTCTCCTTCCAATCAGACATCACATGCACCGACGGTATTCAAACCCATCACACTTGTCTCGAGAAACTCCTGAAAAGTTTTCACCCTAATTAAACTTTAGAGGCTTATTAATCTTCCAGTGGACTGGTCGAAGTCAAAATTTCTTAATCTCATTTGTGATAAATTTTTGGTGCAACTTTAAAATTAATAAAACATAAATAAATAGAATTTAATTTGACTCCAAGCATTTCTTTTGTTTTTAATTGAAATATCTAATAAATAACTGAAGTTATCTTTTGGGTTTTTCCATATCGTGATGGAAATTTTCAGGTGAACATTTAGGGAAGTTGATTAAGAGGCTTGAAATTGTTGTTCTAATTGTTCTAGAAAACGAAATGACGTCTTTGTCGTTGCAAACGTCTGCGTTTGCTTTGTCTGTCTAGTCACTAAAATCAATTGAACAAATTTGTGCGTTGTTCTTTGAATAATATTTAATAACTTTTCTCAAAACACATGTTTTTATGATGTGAGCAAAATTAATAAAATAAGGTAAATTCATCACAAAAGTTGACACGAAGTTAAATATTTTTGACAGTTTAGTCATGAGAATTAATTTTTTTCTTCTTTTGATTCGCGAACAAAAAATAATGACAAAAATTGCATTCCGCAAACTTCTGAACTTCAGAGGGCAAACTCGATTAAGGCTTTGTAAGAAAGTCTAATGCACTCGACTGACTTCATGAGTTTCATGTCGTGATGACGATGATGATGATACAATTCTTTCAATTTGCGTACATAACGAAGATGATGTATTGTGATACTAAAAGAAATGTGTTTTGTACACAATTTAGTTCTCATAAATTGGATAATCGTTTGTTATTACATCAACAGAATAAAAAAATCTCAAATGTTTTGAGTAGATAATCTTCTCAAAATGAGATGAAACTTATTCGCGAAAAGTTGACAACAAATTTGCGTCATTTTGATTTATGTACAAAACTTTTTTGTAAATTTTATATTTAAATTGTAAATATTTTTACATTCTAAAAATCATTCCCGAGCGGCACACACTCGCCGTGCCGGAGGCATACGTTTGCACTACGACGATTTTTAGTTGGCACTTCCTTTGGCTTTTCCTTCAGAAATCAGCGAAAATAACCGAGCTATCAATTTACCACTAACAGTTGACGCTATGATACTGCCCCACATGCCATTAACTCTAAATAAGGCTACCATAAGGCAGCTTAAGAAATTCTTCACTAGTCCAACACATAACTAACTTAAGGTGATAGAATTAGGCGATAGCCAGTAGTTTTTAGCCAAATGTCTTTCAGATGGCGGATTCTAAAGGAAAGCCTTCCCATTAAATGGAGACGATACTCGTATGACAGATTTGTTAGAGATATCGCCTTTTGTGCCGCTCGGGATTTTGATCAATTTTCTTACAAAAAGTATTTGAGAAACACAAAAATAAAATCTCTGAGTAAGTTGAAGTATCATCAACACAAAAAGCAATTCAAGTCAGTCAATTGATTGTGGGAAGAAAACGGAAACGAAAATTTTTAATCAATTGGGAAGTTTTTAATTCAATTTCTCAACCGAGACTCGCTTCTACAAAATTCAATTGGACGTCAAAAAGAAATGATTTGTGAAGACGTTGACAATTTCTTTCTCACAATACTCGGTCGTTAAGCCTGCAAATATTGTATAAGTTCCACTTTAACTGCATGAGGTTTAGTTTATTTCACTGTGATATGTGAATTATGATCTCATTATAGCATACATTGAGTGTGTGTACAGCACCCTTCCCTTTATAATAAGTAGAATATAATTTAACTCGCTTACAAATGTAGTTATGAGATTATTAGAATAAAGAGAAGTTATAATTGCCTCCTGCTGATGATAAAATTCACTTTCAACCCGAAAACCTTCTTCACTTTACTCAAGTATTCTGAGAATATTTTTTTGATCGAATTTTCACACTCTCATTGCAAAACTTTTTCGTTTTATTTAATCTCTCTTGATTAGTCTCGTATGATTAAATATTTTTAAGGTCCTTGTGCCCGTAAATTTTCTTCAACATACCAACATAAAATTGCAACTGCAATCGTAACAAACATAAGAAAAACCAGCATAATGAATAGAATTTTCTCGTCTATTGAGCTTCACTATTCACCCTTGAAGTATCACTTACTGTAGGGCTTAAGGAATTATTCAACACACAAACTCCATAAGTTACTCTTTATTGCCTCTCTCACTTGCTTTACCAGCACAAAATATGCTCGACAATCGCATAATCTGCTTCACAAACTTTCTTCTCCTTAGTCTTGTATGTATACAAAGAAATTAAAATAAATAATGGGAAGAGGTTTTGGGAAGAAGATTTGTTCTTTAAATGGAATTAAATTATTGTTAACAGATTAGCTGAGAAGCTTCTTCCTTCTGCCTCACATAAGTTTTCAATCTTCTAGGGGGGATTTAACGATGTTCTTGAGGTGATCTCGAGCATCTTAATTGTATAAAGAATTATTGAACAATCGATGTTCGGTTATTGACAATTGAAATCAAGAATCAATTGAATTTTTTCACGCTTTATTGAGTCGTGATTGTTTGAAAATCATCTTCAACTTTAAACATTGAGAGATTTCTTAAGTAGATGGGAAATAAAATGCAGAATTCTTTAAGAGTGTTTGAAGCGTTTAAATAAAATTTAAATTTTGCCTCGAGCAACGAAAATATTTTGAAGTCAAATGTCTGTCACTCGTTTTAGATACTTTACGTTCGAATGCAATATTTAAGTGCGGACTCAATTCTTCCGCATGATTTAATAACAAATGGAAGTAAATTTCTGAACTACTCCAACCTTATTGTTTTTTCATTCATTCATTCATTGAAATATTAATAAAAATTTTATTAAAATCTATTGAAAGTTGTTTCTAAATCCATGAAAGAAATATTTAAATCGCGTGTGTGTGTATGTAGCTTAAAACAGGAAAGTTTGTTTAATGGTTGAGCCCACTTGCGGATCAACGATCAAAGCTTTCTTGTGACGTTTCAAATTATTCATGTTCATTTGCCGAATCAACAATCAATTAATTATAATACATTTTAATCAAATGAAATCAAATCGAAGTCAATGAGTTAATTCTGTTAGTTCCTTGGACTACATCAAAGAGCGATTGCCGCAGCCGCAGCTCGCTTCTTAATTGAAATGGAAACATTCTTTTCTCGTTGTCTGTTGCGGGCAGTGGGACACGATCAGTATAAACAACGTCGGACAATGTAGCAGAAAATTGAGTCGCGCTGGCATTTTTATATTTTATTACATATTTCTGTTCTCTTCCTTCATCTCACGTCTCAGTTCCCCGAAATTAATGAATTTTTAATTCCTTTCTTCTGTTTGTTTGACGATTGAAAACCTTTCGAGCGTATTCAAATTTAAATCTCTATCGTAACATGAGGCTATAGATTCGGGAATAGATACGTTTGCGTTGAAAGACTTTAACAAACTTCGTAATCAAAAGACTATCGTGCGGGTACGAAGAGATTATGTCAAGTCCAGTCTAAGACATTTCATTAAATCAAAAGCGATCAAAATATTTTTCGACAATGACACAAAAAATTGTCATTAATATCGTATTAAAAGAACTGGTTTGGAAGCTGTCTTAGCGATCGACTACTCATTACAGTCTTAATCCAATTAAGTTCAGAAATATTAAGAATGCGGTAATGTGACTTAAACTCTTCTACTTCTGTGCTGATAAATAATTAAATTTAATCGATGTCCACTGAATTCATTATCATCGCTGAAATATTTTTTGTTTTGAGAAAATATCTTCTATGGTCTTTACGCCTTTTGAATGAATGTCAAAAGAGGTTTCATAAATCCTCTGTGATGAACCGGAAAAACTCGATACGAACATTTAAAAATATTATGATTTCTTACTGCTTAAATTTATATTCGGCTAAGATAAAACAAGATGCTTGTGAATTGAAGCAACATTCAAAAATGTTAAATTCATTAAAGCAATGCCGATTTGCAAAGGATGGTTTCATTCATGTCGTTCTCTCCAATCAAAAACAAATTGAATTGAATTGTGATGGAAATTGTGTGTAGGAATCAAAATATTTTTCTTTTCTATTTCGTTTTGTCTTTTTTGTTTTAACAAACACTACGATCTTTGTCTATCCAACTAAACACCCACGCTAAAATAAAAGGCTTGTCAATTCAAATTTCAAATACATAATAAAGATTGTGGTCAACACCAGAAGTAGCGAGACATAATAAACTTTATTTACTGCGTGCAAGTTTGAAGCAGGAGATTTGAATATTTCACAACGAAACATACCAATTTAATGACACCCACGCACTCATAAAAAACAATTTCTGTGCACAACAAACAAGCTCACTATGAGAGTTAAATTGAATGAAAAATATTATTTTAATCAAATGTAATCATTTTGAGGTCAAAATATTTAATCATCCCATGACCCTCCACGGACTACTTCTTCATCTTAACTTCTGTCTTATGAATGAAATGTCTCGAACCTAATTGATTTAATTAAGTGAAATTGCAATGAGAGTTGTTAAGAAACTAATTCAATTGTAATGAAAATATTTTGCTTCAACTTAATTCTCTTTAATGGAAGTTGGTAATTTTTCGAGTTTGTGTTTTGTAATCATTAGTCACATAAATTGCAACCGTATTTAAAATAAGAAATAAAGTTGACTTCAGTGTTTTAAAACTATTTTGATTTACAAAATTATTCTTTCTTGTTGTGTTAAACGCCATCTAATGGACAGTAATTCACGATTAAAATTAGGCTATGTTGAGCTCTTATCACTACTTCCAAATATTTTCTTCATTTGAGTATGAAATGTTAAGCACCGCGACACAAAAGTTTCTTCAAATCTCCATTGGTGACTGCAATGTATGATAAAATATCTTGCTGAAGTTTTCTTATTCCTGAGTCTCGTTTTTCTTTCTCTCGCTTTGCCTTCTTACGATAATTAAGTTGTCTGTTGAGCCAATTTTTTACGCTTATAATTTTTGAGCTTATGTTGTCTTGGCCGTGTGTATCTTTTAGATGTGATTAATACATTATTAATTATATTATGGACGTGAAATGAAGAAAAAAGAAGAAGAAAGCTTCAACATGAGATGATGACAACTCAAACGATGATGTCTCGTCTTTCCCACGAAGCAGAGCGGCAATTTCAACCTGTCTCTAAACACAACAATATTATTCAGTGATAAACTGAAATCTCAAAAGAGAAAAAAGCAATATTTTCAAATAACTTAGATAAGTAAAGAACAAAGTTGAAAGAAATGGACCGAATGATATGTCGATGTTTATTGTCCTTTGAAGCATAGAAATGTGCCGAAAGAATTGTTTATTTGCTCAATTCGGAAGCTCCACAAGAATTGAAGTGTTTATTTTTGTTTCATATTTTTAGCTAGTCTGATCACTAACAACTTTGCTACAAGCCGAAAGAACATGCACATGATTCTATGCAACTTGTAACGATGGTCAATTTTTTAAGGGATCCTTTTTCCATGAAATTCTTCAGAAGTCATAATGAAGACTTTTCTGTGTTGTTGTTTCTTTATTTTTCTTTTCTGATGACAGATTCATTAGTAAATATCTTTTAAAGTCGCCGGCAAACACCCGAGTAAAGATGTCTTGTATGTTTCTCTCGACTTTGATAATTTATTACATTTTTTTTTGTAGCTTGTAAGTTACACAGAATTGTTGTTTGCCATAAGCATCCATTCAACAGTGGCGAATCGTCATCATCATTACGTTTTTTTAAACCTTCTGAAAAATTGTCACTGACTTGCTTAGGTAAAAGAGAAAAAAAAAAGTCAAATTGAGTCATCAAAAGTTAAAATCAGAGACACAAATTATCGTTCTTCAGTCGGCAAATCTTCGATGGAACACAAAATAACGAAATTTCAAGAAACCTTTTCTTCATCTTTCTTTCTTTTTCTTCAGTGTTGAATACGACAACATCTTAAAAACATGCGGTCTCTACACAAGAGTCACATTTGGTAATAATCAATATCAATAATAATGCCGTTTGACTAATTGGAAAATATTTTCGTAAAATAATAAAGCGATCTTGTGTTGTTTGGGGTGACAAGCAAACAATAAGTGGCTTATAAAACATCGATTTGTGATGTGCACCGACAATTTATAAATTTCTACAAACATCCTGTTTATTGAGAAAGCATCCGTGAAATAAAAGCGTGAATATTTCCTAGACACATGTTCAACATCTAATGTTTCAATGAAAATATCAATATTTTCGTCATCATCAGAAAATATCGCCTTTCAGATGAATTGCAGTGACAACAGCTCTTTTCATATTCAAATTGAAGTTTCAATACGTGCCTAACGACCAACGAATCACAATGACACAATTGTTTCCTTTTGCTTGGCTTTCATGAAGAGTCAGCAAACTTTTGCATCAACAGAAAGATATGAAAGTGTTTCACTCCCTCGATCAAGATTTTTATTTTATTTTATATTCATGAGGGTCGATTTATGGTTTGTTGCGGGTTTGAAGAACAACAACGAAATTCCACTAAGAAAGAAAACGAATCGTTTTGCGTTATTTACTGTTTCACTTTGATTTTCTTTTGACGACACAAAATTTTATTGAGTGGCGAAGCGTGTCATCGATTTCGAAAATATCTTTGTTATTATTGTTAAAACTCGCACGCGATGATGAACGAGTTGAAAAACAATTTTTTGATATTTTAAAATGAATCAAGGGCTTATCAAGCATTTTTAAACCCTTTTTATAGCATCACGAATGAAATATTATTGTTGTGAATAGTCACGTTTGATTTATGAACTTTAAATTAAATTTCTGTTAGTTTAAGAATTTTTTCTAATTTTAAATAGAAAAGAATTCTTCTTGTGAAGTGAGAAACAGAAAATGATGAGGGAAATTTTCAGAAATAACTTCGAGATCACCACAGAGGTCATCCCTTATCTACCATAAATAAAGTTCCATCTTTATAGCAATCAACACTAACTGTTAAAGCAATAATGAACTCCCATCAAAATCCCATAACAACATTGAATCAATTCTCTCCGATAATTGTGTGTTAAGTGGACAACAAACAAATCTAATAGATAGAGATAGTGGATAGCGGATGAGAGTTTAATTATGATGGATGAAGTCACAACCACCCGCATTGCTATTCGAAATGTCCTCGATTATTTATCAATATGTTGTGGTCTTTTCTTGATTCAGAATTAAAACTTCTAACAAACAAAACGTTTTTAATTTTTCCCATTGTTCCACCATCTCAATGATTATGAACAAAGCACTGCGGATTTCAAAAATTTGACAAATAAGAAAAAAGCCGAACGCTTTTGTTTAATTCTTTGGTTTTGCTATTTTTGTGAAACACTTCACTGCATTCATTATGAAAATTTAGTGAAAAATGAAAACATTAAAGTGTGCAATCATGTAAAAAAATCACTACCAACTGTTGAAATCACAATTCAGGATTGTTTTCTCCTTGTTTAATAATACGGGTTTCATTTCCGATTTCTAATCGATTGCATCACACAGTTCATGCTTCAACCTCGGTAGTTGGTCATTTAAAACATAAAAAAAGGAAAAAAAAATCTCATGCCACTAGGATTTCTATTAATCGAATCGATTATTAACGAAATAAGTTTCCACATTTCATTTCCAACAGTGTTTTGAGTGAATGAACGCTGAAATTTGTTCGTATTATCATGTTGTAAATTAAGCTGATGGATGCAAGCAATCATCTTAAGAATTAAGAAAAATATGTTTTTGATTATGCCGATGTGACTGCACCATAATGCAATTTTAACGCAAACACGTCATTTGATATTTGCTGGTAGAATCTCAACACACATCAGTCGTAACATGATACATTCAACTAAGTAAGACTTAAATGACAACAAAGATTCAAGAAAGCAAACATTAATCTGGCAGTTAAGGGCAATCACTTTGAATTTTGATATCTTTATCGTGAATAAGTTTTGTGCGCATTTCACTGCTTCGCCTGCTGCTCAAACATTCATTTTTATTGTCTCGAAAACTTTTCCCCTTAATTAAATCTGTTGAAAAATGTTTTTGCAAAAACTTTTCAAAGTGTACACAATTTCAACAAAAGCGCAGAGAAATAATTGCGATTTCTATTTATTTTTTGACAATGGCTTCGAAACACTTTCTACTCGCTTTTGCAATGAAAATTGTTTCTTTTTTCCTCAGTTTTACTTGCTTGCTTGTAAATTAAGTCAATTGAGGAAAAAACACGAACAGTTTGTTTCGTTTGAGTGTGAAACAGAGAAAAATAGCATGGTGTAAATATTTTTTTAACAAAAGTAACAAAAAAATCGTATTTGGTGGGGATCGTTCATAAATTTTTAAGTTTTAATAATCATAAAACTAAGAAATCTAAAATTTACGGAATATTTTAATCATCTTCATTTAACAACTTTCTGAAATGTTGAAATTGTTTCGCAGTTATTGGAATGATTTTCCAAAATATTTTCTTCCTCATTTCCCTGCTTCAAATTAATTGCCTCGAGAGTTTTATTATCAGCAGATATTTCAAGTCTCATGAACAGTGAAAACTTTTTAAGAAATCGTTGAAATCACTTCGTTTTATAATTGTAAATTGATTCGAAACTAGACGATTTATTTATATTTTTTCATTCAATTGTTTTTTGAATTATTGTTCAATTTTAAAATGAAACTCGATGAGTTTGAATCATATATGTTTTATTTTAACGGTGATTTTCATGATTACCATCTCAAAAAAATTGTAATGAACAAAATGTTCGTAAATGTGCTTACTCAATCGAAACAAAAGCAGAAAAAATTGCATCAAGAAACAAGAATTTAACATCTGCAGAGTAGTTCAAGTTAAAAATCTTTTTGATGGGGAAAAATGTTGGTTGCATGTAAACATTGAGTCAAACAATCCGAAACAGAAAAAAATTGGGCTGTTTACAGTCATAAAGAATAAATCATACTTAAATGAACACTATTGATGTTAATCACTTTAAAGTGGAAAATAATAAATATTTATTCAAATTCGAAGAATTTTCTTTGATTTCCTTTGACTCCATCTAAAATGTTTTCTCAACTCGACACACAAGAAATGAGACTTCACCGTTTGATCCAAAATCTTGTTGATTGACGAAAGTGTTTTGAGATCCCAAATAAAAGAAAAAAGTGAAAACTTTATTGAACACAAATAGCTTTCGAATGAAGGTGAATTGAAAAATCGTTTGATATTTGGTAATTGAAGGAATTTCATTACACAACATTCGAATCATTTTTCATTTCTTTTTCAGGGTTGTGAATGATATGTTTACTGTTGCAATTGCGTTTTGTAGATTGATTTCCAAATATAACAGAGAACATAGAGAAAGATTAAATATCAAAACAAGATTGGGACAAAACGAAATGTTTTTTTGGTAAATAAGAAAAAATAAATAAACATTAAAACCCTAAGCATACATTAATGAATCAATTTGAAAAATTTAAATAAATCCGTGGGGATTTATTCGAAATGTCACAAGATTCAACACACATTGCATGGAATATTTTTTAACTGTGGATTCTACATTCAGTGAATCGTAAAACGACAATGAAGTCAAAATTTTATGATACGTTTTCAATCAGATTTCCGATTCTTTGTAGAGTGATTTGACCTGCCAATGTTTTATCTACGGATGGACTCGTTCTTGTTGGAAACACGCCATAAAATCCCTAAATACTTGGTAAACAAGACAAAAAACGAATTCACATCATCGCATGATTGTAAATTAATAAAAAAATATTTTTATGAATGTAGAGAAAACAAAATACGAAGCTGAATGTTATGACTTGATGATACCTCAATTTGTAGTTGAAAAGGATTCGTTTGAAAATGATATAAAGCTGTTAATTTTGTTGTTGAGAGAAAAAAGTTATTTCACACGAACAGACATCAATAGACTCAATCTTATTTTTATTGAATTTGTTTTCTTTTTGAACGAGGTTTGATTAATTTTTATGTTTTTCAGGAAAAAAAAAAGATGTTCGCTGTAAGGTTGTAAAGTTTGTTCTCGTTCGCCCTTTTCCTAAGCTTTAAAGCGGGGTGATAAAAATCACACACATCAAATAATAGAATTATGATATTATGATGCTTGTTATACAAATTGAAAGGCTTTTGTTCAATTAAAACCCGCTCTGAGATCTAGAAAAAAAGTATTAAAAATTAAGAAATTTATAACTGCAACAACTGAATTGAAAGGCTTTGATCTCATCTAATTTCTGTTCAATGAAAAGAGTCTTAACAATCATTCAGATATTTTGTTCTGAGAATTAAAATCAAAGTTCTTGTTTAAAACATTTGGCATGTAAAGAAGAAATTGAAATTGTGTAAAGAAGGCTGTAGAAAAAAAAAGACGAAAACTAAATCATAACAAATTATCAAAAATTCATGAGAACTTTTTTCACTTCTCTTCTGGTTGTAAACTCTTTTGATGAAAGACTTAGACTTGAAGATCGTGTTAATTTCCGTCTTTCGCTTCTACACATTGTGTCTCGTTGTTGGATACACAATTAACAAAAGCAAGCTTAATTGATTGAAAACACTTCGCTTGAATGAAATTAACAACAGCAATTGGAAGCTAAGATGATCAAAACGTTAAAACGCTTAAAAAATTTTCATCAATGAAAAAAGAAAGAAAGAAATTAAAGCATTTTTACAATTGACTTTCATTGAACTAAATTGCGATTAAAAGTACTTTTATTGAACAATTTCATGAATGAATCGAAGAATATCTCAAAACTTGATTGTGTATCAAAATATGATCAAAGAAGTTTTTCCGAATCAAACGGAAAGACGGTGTTGAAAAGCCTGTTAGTTATAAACATCCAAAAAGCAACATCTGGAAACATCTGCACGTGTCCTTTTCATCCACCACTGAGTAGTTGCATAATCATTTCGTGATAAATAACAAATTGGTAAAAAAATAAACGAATCACATTCGTTGTTATTGTGTTTGTTTTCAAAAAATATTTAGCTTTGAATCATAAAAGAGTGACACGTGCAATGATGAGTGTGAGTGTGTGGGCATAAAATCAACGTGACGTTTATCATAATTTGATATTTAAAAATAGAAAGAAAGAAATTGTACCTGCATTCATTCGCATTGTTGTTGACCTTTTTCAAGCTATCAATTAACAAAGCAGCATTTCTTGATGTTTATTTTCATTATGACGCATGCGAAGCTTTCCACGGATCTCGTAGGCGTTAATTAATCCCAATTAGTTTGTGTTACAACATATTAACAATATGTTTCGAAACATTTTCTGATGAAGTGGAAGAAATGAAATAAATGAGCTGTGAACGCATTAGTTTTCGGGTGGAAAAAAGAGCCACGAAAAAAAAAGAAATTTTAATGCATGTCCCGCATTTCCCTTCACACTTAACGATCATCATATGCTGCTTAAGAACGTTGAAGGCAATTTTTAAAGCAATAAAAATATTTATATTCATCTTGTTAATTTGAAACAAAATGATGACGAGAGATGAGAAATGACAAGAAGTTAATTTTATCATAGAAATTTACTTTACATCACTTACTAATTGTTACAATTTCGTTTCTGAACGTCATTATTGGTTTATTTATTAAATAAACGATAATACAGAAATTTATGTTGTTTAATCTTTTATATTGATAAAAATATAAATTATTGAAATTGTGGAAAATATTTAAAATAATATTTCAATCGACATAATATTTTCCGAGTAATTTTCGTGTTTACAAATGTTTACATGCAACACTTGCCTGCTTATCGATTTATCAATTAACTTGTTGATATTTTCTTAATCTTGATCAAGTATGGTGAAATCGTAGAAACAAATTTAATATAAATTGCTGTAAATTGCAAGAGCTCATTCAGTATTATTTAACGTGGCAAAGTATTATTTAAAACTACAAGTAAATTCTTCAAAAGCAAATTAAAAATGAAGTTCACAATTTTAACTTTGTGTAAGAATTTTGAGTTCTTTACTTAATAAAATATTTGCACAGTTTTGTTTTCAGTTCTCGTTGTATTGATCGCAATTCAAGGAACTTACGCCATTATCTGTGCGAGAGATCTTCGTACTGGCCAATATCAAAACTTCAATAGCTTGGAGGATATGTACGCCTCAAATGCTATTGGTGGACGTTAGTGATGATAAATATTTTAATTGAATATAAATTAAATTAACTTTTTTACAGGATATGCTTATGTGCAAGATGGTCACTGTTAAGACGACGTCAATGCTCGAAGCCAATAACGGAAAATTATTTTAAACTTTTTTTATCACTGAGAACAATTGAAATAAATTAAAATTTTAAAGGAACGAATTTAAATGTTTTATTGAATTTACCTATTGTATAAGAGAGTTTTACATTTTGATATAAATTATTTCAGAAGTTTCCAGACGAAAACGAACCTTTCAGACGATGCTTACACAACTGTTTTCAAACATTTTAATATTCTCGTCAAAAATTTTTGTAATATCGTCAATGATAGTTAATTTCAAGTCCCAATGAATGAAACTTTTGTCTGATACTTAAAACTTCTGGATACCAACCACATGTGTCAATATCACGTTTCTTAAATTCAACTGCGAAAAATGAGCAAACGCTAAATATTTTTTTAATATGAAACGTTCAAAGTGCCACGTTGAGAAAGTTTAATTTCAAATGAATTGATTTTAAATGCAATAAATTCGGCAAAATAAACACTTGAGCAATTTATCATATCAAAATTTTGCTATCTTTATTATAAATTACATTCCGTTTAACTGCACAATAATCAGATTAATGCACTTGTAAGATAAGAAGAACAAAGACTTCCAGATTTTTTTCATTAAAATTCCTATTAAACTAATTCTATTCTTAAGAAAAATGAACATATCTGAAAAATTAAAATCTAAAGTAATTAAACTAGAGAAGCAAATAATTTTTGTGGTTGTCAATGAAATGAACCAAATTTTATTTTTATTTAGAATCTTTTTATTCACATAGATAAGTTATTATTACATGTTCACAAGTGCTAGATGTTTAACACGTCCCATCATATAAGAAAATAAATCCTAAGATAAAATATCGAACATTTAATTCTGATACTAAATTGAATTAATTAACGATACTTACGGCCGCCAAGGTGATTAGCCATGTACATGTCTTCAAGGCTGTTAAACGTTTGAAATCCTCCTGTGCGTTGATCTCTTGAACAAATGCTGTCAACAGCTCCTAAAGCTTCTTGAGTTGCAAGACATACAACGACGAGAACTGAAAAGTTAAATAAATTATTATTCATAAAAAGAAATTTTAGAAAATTTTCCTTACACATGATCAAAATTGTGAATTTCATTTTTAATTTCTTTTAGAGACTTTACTTGCAGTACGATAGGTAACCGAATGAGGTATGACAAGCTTATGCCGAAAATTTATATTTATGTATTTTCATTAATATGTAGTAAAAAGAAAATTTAAATTTCACCATCAAGTTGACCCTTTTTTGAGTGCTCAAAATTTTTATTGGGGAAATATCAACTTTATAGATTATTCAGTTCAGAGCTTCTGTCGTAAATTTACTTATTGATAACATTAATCGAGTTCATTGATATCAACATTAAAATAGATTTCCTTAGAATTTTATTGTTTACTCTTTCTAGTGCTTAAAATTAATTCCTATCAATAAAGATAAAGAACAAAAGGAACTAACAAAAGGTTTGAAGTATCTAAATAGGACAAAACATTCGATTGCGATATTTTGAAGTTTTTCGTAACAATTTTATCGTGCAGAAAATTATGGCAGGTACTTAGGACTGTCGATGTATATCATACACTTGTCTACTTATATTTATTCAGATGTTTTCATATATTTTAATGGTGAAATTAAGTTATAAGTTAATAGTTGTGAATGATTAGATTACGATTAGAAATAACGAGGTTAGGTATACAGTATAAGAAAGCCCAAGCTTGGTAAAATTAAATCAGAAGTGAAATTCGCCTCGTTCCATATTATCAAAAAGTTTTTTAAACAAGAAGCAAGTGTGGTGTAAAGAATGAAATTTATAACATACATTTTTGCATTATGTAAGACTTTCTTTGCAAAAAGCTGAGTGTTCATAAAATTATCATGAAACTCAATCAATATTTTAGTTGCCATCCTAACAATTACGATTCAAGGAGCAAATGCAATCATTTGTGCTAGAGATCAACGAACTGGTCGATATCAAAACTTCCTTAATTTACGAGTTATGGAAAAGTCAAATGCTCAAGGTGGTCGTAAGTTTTATAAAGTTATTGAAATATTTTTAATGAAAATTTGTGAATTTTATCATTTCCTAGGATTTATTTATCTCTATGAAGGACATTGTTGAATGTAAAACAAAAACACGTAGAGAAATGTTCAAATAAACCAAAATTTTTATTCTTCATTAAACATAAATTTGATTTTTGAATTTAATAATGTCGGATCGTTGACTTTAAAGATTGTTTGAGAGTGTAATAGAGACACCCTCGTCAAAGACAGTAATCACGTTTCTTTAACGAGAGTTTTGGTATATCACACATGGGAACATATGGTAAGTATTGATAAACTCGCTAAGCCAACGACTTGTTGTTGCTGACTTAAAGATTTCAAGTCTTTATGGTGAAAGTTGTTTCCCTTTTCATCTTGAAATTTTTGTTATGAAGTCTCGAACTGTCACTCAGCATGATCATTCACCAGAAACGGGATACCTGTTTGGATAGCTTTTTGAAGGTTTCTAATCATCATTTTAAACATTTCTTCTCAGTTGATTTCAGACCTTGTGTCGGCTGAAGTTATAAAATGAGAAACAAATAAATATACGCAGAAAACTTTATACGACAACTTGAAATCCGAAAAAAAAAGAATTTTTTAATATTTATTTTGACATGTGAGATACAAATTAAAAATCTACGCGATTTCTTGTTTCATGCTGTGATGGGAAATAAAACTCTTTTTTATTAATGTTGTGAGTTGATGATGAATAAAAAGGCGAGTTCTAGGAGTCCGCATGGTGTTCATACATAGTTTCAATACAGCACGTTTTCTCATTATTATTATTTCCATTCCGTAATCATAAACGTCATTATTTGAGATCTAAAGCGTTGACAAAACATGTAAAATGTTTCCATTTCACTTAATTGAACTAATCCTCAGATGAAGCGGCAATTTATGTTGTTGATGTTGTTATTATTTGTGTAGCATATTCAGCATTACAAAAGCAAAGCGAATCAGAGTATGATAAGATGTCCTGCTGTGAATGAATATAAACACATAATTTGAACGCGCAACAATTTCATTTCGGGTTTTTTCTCTCTTTTTTATTTTTTATTTTATTCCCTGACACGTGATTTATGAGAGTTTAAGGGAAATTAAATGATGCTAGAAGTTGTCATTGTTAACGCTACGCTTGCTGTTTAGACCTTTAAACATTTTAATCATCTTTATCATTAAAAATAAAAAAGTTTCAACGACATTACGAAGATATTCAATAAAACAAATTGATCTCATAAAAATGTTATAATAAACATGATGGTTCATTATTTTGGTAGCATTTGCATGGTTACGACCAGCCCGCAGTGTCTTAAAGTGTCGACAATGAACAACAAATTAAATTAAATTCTTTGTTGGTCAATATTGACCTTTTGTTTGCGAGTCTCTCCAATTTATATGAGTTTGAGAATCAAATCAAATAAAAATATGAATTTTTTATTAGATTCACGAACAAAACATCAAGACGAAGTTCAATTAAAGCAACTCTGTTTGTCAATTAATGTGTTGATTCATTTTATTATCAATATCGAAATGGTCAAATTACCCGATGATTCGTTCAAAGAAAGGTCAGAAAAGGTTAAGACGAAAAGTTATTTGAACGACAATCATTTGCAGAGTTGTAACAAAATTGGTTTCAATGGGACTGTAAATAAAATATAAAAAATCATTTTGAATGACAAAACTCGAGCTTTCAATGCCATAAAAAATGAAGAGAAAATATTTTTATAATGAAGGAGAAAGCCAAGGATACAATTACATGATTTGTGTAGTGATGGAAATTGTTGATAAACACCATATGGTTGTTTGTTGAAGATGTGTAGGAAGAGAGAAATGACAATTTAATGCTGTTTGGTTGGTAACAAATTTCTACCAAAACCCTGCATGAAGGGGAATTTAATTAAACAAATTTTTCAATGTTTCTCATCTTTCGATATCAGCTTAATAACTCCAAAAGTGTTGTTTCTAATATTTCCGTAAATAATATTTATTGTGACTTTTTTTTGACACAAAAACAGGGTGGAGAGCATAAAATTCTAATAATTGAAGGAAGAAGACAAAATTTAACACTTCGACCCCTTCTCTAAACCGAAACAGTGTTCCCAGAAGCAATAATCGACTAATTACTATATAAGCTCATCGAGAAAAACCAGAAAATGTGGTTCCATACTTCGTAGAATTTCACCCAAAGACCACATAACATATTTCAATTTTCTGTTGTTTTTTTAACGTTTTCTTCCTTGTGTTGAATTTCAAGAGTTCTCAAGGTTACGGATGGAACATTATCGAGCATAATTTTGAAGCTAATGGTATGTCACTCTTTAACAATCTTTACATGGTGTCATCGAAAGACAAAAGAGAATCCTTGGAGTTCGGTCAAACATTCACTCCACGATCACCACATTCCATAGTAACATTCCATCATCAAATATTGTTGCTTTGGTCATGGTCGAACGTTCAAAATCGATTTTCCAATCCATAACATATTCAACTTTAATTCAATTAACCAGACAGCATACCGAACAACTTAAAGCGATATTCTCCCAATCATCACAAGATAATTAATCACAATCTTTAGGAGCTGAACGAGATGTGAAGGAAAATAAAAATTATGAAAAGTCATTTTATCGGTTAAACAAACATTGAAAGCAGCGCGCACAAGCTAATGAATAAAATTGGTTATTTGTATCATGTTAATTCATTTAATAATCTAAAATTCGTGTAACAACAAGACGTTTTGAGACCATTGTAATCGATCAGGTCCAAATTGATTTATGTGATTGATGTTTCTATCGATATTCAAGCCGTCTTGAAATCGTTTAAATGTTTAAGATGAAATGACTTTGACTGTGACGTTAATAAAAAGTATTTTTATGCGCAGAAATTTGAAAGCTACCAACTAAACATTCGTGAGAAGGAAACAGAAGTTTTCTTCAACATTCATGATATTTCTAAAATCTCATGCATTTGCAGTCCATTATTGGCATAATCATAGGTCTCTAGTAGCATTCGTCATGCACTGAAGTAAAGAAATATCTCTCTTCACTATTCTCTTTGTTAACACAGAAACTTGTATCCAACAATTCGTCAACTGATGAGCGTGAAAATATATTTGACAAAAAAATCGCCCAACACGAAACTTCTTTGTGGACAAAAAAGTCTCAAACTAATTGTTAATAATTAGCATCATATAATCGCATTATGCTTTGTACTCTTTTTTTTTCTTGACTTCTTTAAAACTTTGTGGAATTTTTCACTTTTTTTAAATAAATACAGCATCATTCATATTTGTACACGTTCAAATTATTGTAGCTTAATCAATAATTTTAAAAAAGGGATTAAAATATTTAGAAGGATGTTCAGGTATCGATTTTCATAAGAAGGCGGGACTAAAAATATCTTTTGAATCTTTTCAGCATCGTCCTTTATTGTTCTACGAATTTGTAGATGTTATTAAATATTGAATTAAGTAAACTAATTTTGTTTTACTGTTTAAAAGAATTTCCTAGTATTAGCAATTAACTTGACAACTTTTATTCAAAGTATCACATCAATCATACTGCTTTTCACATACAACAAACTCATTCATACTACGTTTCATGAACATTTCAATGTCATGTTAACGTAGAATATTTTTGTTTAAAACTTCTCCCATAAATGATCATAAATAGCCGGTGAATGTTTTCATTAGCCTCACTTTTGATTATTAAATTGATAATCGAACTCGTCTTCTTATTCTTTTGTGATCAAAAATATCATTTTCAAGCATGTGAAGTATCAATTAATAAATTGTTATCGCGCCCATCAAATTTAATCGAATTTTGAATGTTTCAATTTTTTTCTTGCCTTTTTTTCGGTTGTTCGATAGAAGTTGGCCGAAAGAGCCTTCTCATGCTGTGATTTTCAGCTTTTGATCTTTTGTGATGCTGATTGTCATTTCAATTTTGAAAGCTTTAACAATAATTTTTAATATTGCGACTTGTTGCTTCGATACTCGCGCTACGTTTCATCTTGTATCTATTTCTACTCTTTTCCATCCTTAAAAGCTTTCAATGATGAGGGAATTTGACATTGTTGATTGATACATGATGTTGTTTATCCCTCGCAAACAAGACGTGGGTATATACAAACTTCTTTAAGTGGGGAACATAAAAGGCAAAGCATAATGATTCAACATATTAACAGCATTTCAACTTCGATTAATTGTGCAAAAGAATATAATGATTCATACAAAAAAATAAAGAGAAATAAATAATGCCATTGAATGAGAGAATTTACCGACTTGGCTCAAAAAAAAAAACGGAGAATTAATTTATTCTAATGGGATTTTAAATTTGTAGCTGTTTCTTTATTTCCTTTCTTATGTGATATGTTCTCGACTCGAGATGTGTGTAACAAATGATGAATGTAATTGCTCTGAAGTAGATCGAGATGAGAGGTTTTTTGTGATGCTAATATGGCATAGACAATTTATAGATCGAATTATTTTTAAATATATTTTTTGACTCGAAATGGTTTGTTATGAAACTTCATTAGTTTTATGGTGAATTATGTTATTAGCAAGGACATTCTTTACACCTAAAATATTTTAATGTTCTACCTAATAAATAACAAAATCTAGTTTTCTCTATGAAAATTAAAGTGTTGTTATTGAAATGATGTTGTTTATAACAATAACACAAGAAACATTAAAAAAATATCTTAAATGATACATCAACGAAGATTACTCAATTCTCTTTCATTTATTCATCATTTTCTTACATTCAAATTCAAAAAACGATTCTTTTAATCTTGACGCAATTCATCGCATTATCTTCACATAATTCTTCTGAGTAGTCTTCTCAACCGTTCGGAAAATTGATTGATAAGCGATTTGAATCGTGAAAGAATAAAAAGAAATCTTTAATGTTCGAGTGTCAAAATCATTTCAAGAAAAGATTTTTTTCGAATGTTTTTCTGTTCTGTTGATTTCACACCTTTGCATTATCTTGTTTCTTTTGTGGGAATCTTTGTGTTAATAGAATTTTTAATCAGTTTTGAGAGGATGAGGACCATCTAAACATTGATCGAAACTGATCATATTAGCATAATTTATAAAAACCTCGAAAATTCAATTTGAAATCGATGATCAAATGTATTGTCAACAACATTAAGCAGTAAGGAAACGATAACTTATTAACTACGCACAATGTAACTCAAGCTATTAATTATGTCATAAAGCGGAGCAGATGACGAGTTGTAAACATCATTCATAACTCATTTTTATGAGAGAAGACAAAATGCTATTGAAAGCTACACCGACATGCGTTGATAAATATTTAATTCTCTGACTCTTTGAATCTTCATACTTCTTCAATAATAATAAACAAATTATGAATACTCAAACAAGCTTCATTCTTACAAATTACGCTTTTAGAATAAAAATTTGCCGAGTTTAAAAATTCAGTTGAAATAGAGACACGAAGGAAATCATTTCGCTGCTCAATAAAAAGCAAATTAATCAAAAGTGATTTGAAATGTTTTTAAAATTATTTTTATTATTTTTACTACTTGCGATAACAAAACCAGCATTTGCTCTTGATGATGTGAAGTTCAGACAATTAAATCAGTCGTTAAGTTTTTCCTGGTCGTCAAATGAAGGCGAACAAGAAAATATTGATTTGTATGAAGTTCATTTGAATAATTTGAGGTTTAAAACCAAAAATAATTCTTTCCAAATGTTTGAAGTGTCACCATGCACTTTGTACAACATAAGCGTCGTGCCAATCACACGAGATCATCAATTATTGAAATCAATTCATACACAAATTATTACAAAAGAATTTCGTAAGCTTTTCAATGATGAATAATTTTTTTACATTCCTAATAAATTTTCAATCTTTTCAAGATCCAAAACCAGTAAAAAGATTAGCTGTGACTGAAGTTGGAAGTTCATACTTAAAATTTTATGTGGAAATATTTAAAGTTGATAACATTTGTGGTACAAATGTAATTGAGATTAAATGCAACAATTTGACAACAAATGTTAATGCTGATAACTTCAAGTCAACATTTTATGCTGTCGTTCTCGAAGGATTGCAACCTCACACAGAATATCGCTGTTCGTCAAAGGTGAAAAATAATATTGGAGAGTCAAAGTCAACAAACACTGTCGTCTACAGAACAGCTTATAGTGGTAAGCATTTATTTAGCACCTTCTTATGTCAAATAATGTTTCATTTAATTTTCACAGCACCACAAACACCATTCAATATCAGATCAACTGTGAACGATGAGAAAAAATCAGTTGACTTAGAGTGGGATGTCGACAATTCAACAAGCACCCCAAACTTTTATAGAATTATAATTAACTTCGAGGAGACGTTAAACGAAAAAGTTGAAAACTGTTTAAATAATTTTCGAAAGGGATTCATGATCCAGTCAAGCAGAACTTTTACTGAAGTCTCAGGATTGGAATCTTATTCCAAATATCATGTCAAAATTGCTGCCATTAATAATTTCGGAACAAGTGAATTTAGTGACAAATATTTCTTCGAAACTGGTGTGACAGTTCCATCGGCGCCGACGAATGTTTCATTTGGATTCTTAGATAATAATGTTGATGACTCAACAGTCACTGCTGTCTTAAGATGGGATCCGCCATGCAAATTGAATGGACCGTTTTCACACTATTTAATAACAATCATGGGGATAAAATCAGGAAAAATTGTTTACTCAAAAACTGTCTCAAGTTCAGTTCCAAATGTGACATTCGATGATCTTAAAATTGATGCAGTCTATGAAGTCAACGTGCGAGCGGCTAATAGTAAATTTACAAGCAAAGCTCGATACTTTACTTTTGTCCACAGTACATCAACTGGAAGTAAAGTTTAAGACAAACAACAACAAAACCATCATCACCTCTTAATTGAGTTAAGTAATGAAAAGTTTGCATTATAATAAAATGTTTGACATCGACACCAAGTTCATTTGTAAACGACACACAAAATACGACAACTCCGGTCATTAATTAAGAAATGAATAAAAAGAATAAGAAACGACTGAGTCGATGAAAACATTTTTCATAATTTATTTATGCGAGTGAGCGAGTGAATTGAGACATGAGAGTAGACGACTTGTTGTTTTGATAAGCATGTGTTGATTCTCTACTGCTTTTGTCAATCCTCAAATTGTTTTTAATGTAAACGATAATCATGAAACATTTGTTGAATATTTAAAACTCTCTCATCAACATCGCGTTGAGCGCAATTTTGCAGAGTAATAAGAATTTATTTCACTGACATAAGCGACATTCAGTTGAGTGGGAGACGTCAAACGATTCAATTGCTTGTTGTGCGGGAATATTTGATGAATCGATCGCGCATGAAACATGATCACTAGAAAATTATTGTTAATTAGTTTGTGTCTTTTAGTGATAAGAAAAACAAAATGTGCCGAAGAAGAGAACGAAATCGATTGCAAGAAAATTGATCAACAGAAGTTCAAAGGCTTGTAATTAATTAGCCGATTAGATCGTTTTATGCTAATCGTTTTTCTTATCAACTTTCCAGAGTTATTCAAATTTAAATACGGTGGAGGTCCCAAAGGTCTCTTCCTCGACTTTAATTTCGGATCTGGAAATGTTTTCTCCGTTGGAAATTGTAAATTTGTTTTGAAAGAAACCAAAACAGCTGAGCATAAAGCTAGAAATCATAAAAGACAAAATTCGAAGCAAAATCTTGGTGGACTTGCACCATGCACCAAATATGACGTTATGCTAAAAATTCTAAATTCAGCAACAAACAAGGAATTTGCTTATCAGAATATTGTTTACACAAAAATGCTTTCGAATGTTGCCAAACTTGTCGTTGCTGTTGACGAAGCGAATAATGAATCTACGATCTTATCGTGGAAGATCCAAAGTTCCAAAACAAATTGTATTACAAGCTATGACGTTGTCATCAAAAATAGTAAAGCAGAAATTGTTTATGATAAATCAAATGTTGAGGATTCATCGGTGGTTGTCAAGAATTTATCTCCATGTGAACTTTACACCGCTCGAGTTGTTGCACATAGCGGGAGAGGTGAAAAAATCACATCGAATGATAAAAGTTTTACCATCAAATCAAGCGTTAGATCTGTTGAAAATCTTGAACTGATCGTTGATGAAGTAACATCAGAAACTGTTGCATTGTCATGGAAAACCGATTCTGAAGATTGTCTTCAGGAATTTCATGTGAAGCTTCGTGATAACAGAGACAAAATTATTTACGACAAAAAAGTTTATTCCAACTCTGTTGTTATCACAAACTTGACCTCATGTAGGAATTATTCGGTTGAATTAATCGCACTTGACAGCGACAAATCAGCTCTAAAAGCTGTTATAAAGTCTTTCTTTACTCCTTCGACTCCGATTGAAAATGTGTCGATTAATGTGAGTAGGACTCGCGCTGATGTGTCTTGGGTTCCATCAGAGAACCTCGATTGCATCACAAACTATCAAGTTGGCTATGAAATTGTAAATTGCGAGCATAAACCTGGCGATAACGTTTCCTGTTCCACCTTACGAACCATTGAAAAATCAAAGACATCAGTCAGGTTCTCTCAACTTCCACTTGCGGAACGTTTCACATTAACGATTTATGCTAATGAAGTCACGTCGAATGGCGACGCGAGTCGAGCGAAAATTTGGAAGTTCAACACGTTCGATTATGAGAAGTTTGTGGTGCAAAATATCAACGAGTTTCGTGATAAAAGAACGGAGTTACAGCTAAGTTGGGGACTTGACATTTATTTTAAGAAACTTCTGAAACATTTTGAAGTTGAATTCAATGGAGAAGTTTTGATAACCGATAAGCAGTCGATCATAATCAATATAGAAGCTTGTAATAAGAATTATACTATCTCTGTACGTTGTGTTTCGAAAGATGATTATAAAGGCGCTGCTGTTATCTATAACACTAACCTCAATGACGATGATGTTCCGCTATCTTCCCTCGATTCTAATATCAATTATAAACAAGTTGAGTCATCCGTCATGTTGACTTGGAATCCAAAGAAGGAAGAAATTAATTGCATTGGTTTTTATGAAGTCGAGTTTAATGATCAAATTGTCAAAACGAAAGAAACCGAATTGGAAATAACTGATTTAGCGCCTTGTACAAGTTATGAGATTAGCATAACGCCAATTTCACTTCATGATATTCGTGGCAGAACTTCGATCTTTGAGTTGACAACACAAGAATTCCGTGAGTTTTCCCACGAAATAATCGAAATTTAGATAATTAAAATGTTTGACTTTTCAGCTCCACAACCACCAAGCGAGTTGCAACTTGTTAAAGCTGGCATCAACGATTTGATGATTTTAACGAAAATTTCGGAAGATGACAAGCAATGCAAATCAACTGTCATTGAGATCATGTGCAATAACTTAACGGTGTCACTCAAAATCGATGTATTCGAAGAGAAATATGTTGGTCAGCTTACAAAATTGAATCCTTTCTCGAATTATCATTGTTCAGCTCGTGTGATAAACAATGTCGGCAAATCAAAATCAACTGACAGTAAAGTTTTTAAAACAACACAAGATGGTGAGAATTATTAAAAGAATTTTAGAAATAATTTAATGAGATTATTTTAGCACCACAACCACCATTTAACATCAGATCAACAAGTAACGACGATGGAATAATTAATTTGCGATGGGATGTCAACAATTCAACGGGATTTGCTGAAGAATTTCTTATTGAAATTGTTCATGAAAAGACAGTAAACAAGGAAATTAAGATTTGTCATTCAAATTTTACGCGCAGAATTTTATTGAATTCAACTGAGAATTTTGTAGGAGTTCCACCATTAGAACCATTTTCAATATTTCAAGTTCAAGTGAAAGCAGTTAATAGTGAAGGTTCGAGTGATTTCAGTGAGAAGCATAAGTTCCAAACGAATGTAGCAATTCCAACACCACCAAGAAATATTTCAGTGAAATTTGTTACAAATAATGCTGACGACTCAACAGTGACTGGAATCATTAGTTGGGATCCACCATGCAAGCTCAACGGGCCTTTTTCACTTTACTTAATTTCTCTCGCTGCATCAGGAAAAATTATTAATTCGAAAACGAAAGCAAGTTCATTCACAAATGTCACTTTCGATGATCTCAAGCGTGGTGCTGTTTATGAAGTTAAAGTTCAAGTCGCAAACAGTAAATTCACGAGTGAATCAGAAATTATGACTTTCGACACACCATCAGGAAGTAGGTTTTGATATTTCAGAGAATATTTAAATGTTAAAACTCTGATTATTTAAATCTCTCCAGTTCCACTCAAAAGTGACTTGAAAGCTTGGTCGACTCTGGGAAATACTCTTCATATTTTTGAAAGTGGAAAATTTGACATTTTCATCAGACGTGGTGTGCTTCACTCAGATGTTGGAGACATCATTGGAATTGCTTTTATGATCTTTCGTTCGGTAGGAAAGAATTTCATGAAATTTTTTATCAATTTCTTTTAACTTTAAATTACGTAGGATTGTGATGAACAGCCAACAATAAGTAGTGGATATCTGCAGTCGTTAGACACTAAATTCCCATCAGCTCATGAAGCAGGAAATAATTTAGAATGTTCTGTGCTATATCAACAGACTGAAATTCTGCCAAATCCCCTTGACGAATTGAAATCTTCTGATAATCTTTGGAATGAATTCAATATAAAGTTTACAATTGGAGATGAGATCTGTTCGAATTCAGAAACCGAAAAGAGATACTGCAATGGTCAGCTTCCAGTTGATTATACTTATGGAATTATTGCTCGGGTGTTTACGAAAGATGCATTTAGAGACACTGAACCTGCTTTTATTGCAATCAGACCGAATCTTTTAGCAAAGTTTCCGTCACATGGAATTGTTTATGGTTCAGTAGGTGCTCTTATTCTCATTTCATTTATAACTCTTCTCTGTTGTCTTTGGAGCAATGGAAAAAAGAAGAAACGTATAAAAATGAAGCAAGCTGCGGAAGCAGATGAAAATTTACTGTCATTTACTTCATATTGTGTGTTTGATAAGAATCCACTGCCAAGAAAGAAATTTACTGATTAAACATCAAAAACATTTTTATTCCTAGAATGTACTTAACAAAGTTTCTTTTTTATTTTCTTTTAAATAAAATGCTAGAAGATCTTCAACTTCTTTTCTTTTTTAAAACGCCGCTATTTGATTGATTGTTTCGAAAAGTTCGTCGGTGATCATTTGATAAATTTGACACTCTTTCCTGAAAATATTTTTAAAAAACGACAGGAAGTTTCAAAAGGGTTAATAAAAACGTTTTATTATTACGCGTGAACTGTCGGTTTATATTCAACAAAGGTTTACTTGATTTCGCCTTCCTTTGCTAACATCAAAATATTTCCTAAACATTTCATTGAACACGATCATGTTTAGGTAAAAATAAAGGATGAAAGTATGCCGCAGATGAAAGCGGGGTTAAATATAATTTTATTGCAAAGGATTTAATATTAGTACGATAGAGTTCATGATATCAAATTTCTTCGAGGATATTTTAAACCCGAACAATAGAGGGCGCTGATATTCAATTTCAACATTATCAGGTAAATGTTTTGTGGAACGAAAAAAATGGCAAAAGACATTATGAATAAAACGAATAATTCAGATTTTTTAAGTATCAAATTGAAATCGTGCTACGTGGTACTTTAGGAAAAAGTTCACCAGAATGAAACAATAAGTATGAAGCAAGAAGGATAATGTTTTGCCACAAAATAGCATTAAAATAAAATCCACGTTAAATTAAATATTCACACCATAAGGTTTTATTTCACAATATTTAAATTATTTAACAACCATATAACCGATTAATCCTTAAAGCATCACCTGATGAAACGGCACCAGTCATTCCAATGATGTCCAAAAACGAACGATTGTGTGGTACAACTGTGTCTTGTCCATTTCTTGAAAACGCCCATCTTGGGTAATGCATGATCGATCTTAAATCGTATGGAGTCCCCAAACTGTCATACCATCGAGGATCGACCATCTCAAATTGATCTTCGAATCCAGGTATAATATTATTCCACATTATTGAAACGTGGCTATCACGTGTGACATCAGAATGCATGTGAACAAATCCTAGAGCGTGAATTGCTTCGTGCATTGCTGTTCCATCCCAGAAGCATCCATTTGTGTCCATAGACAATTCTTGTCTTCCACCAATTCGTCCTATCCATGACCAGCAACCATCTCCGTTGACAATGTCTACGAAATCAACTTGAGTTGTTCGTTGAACGAAGCGAACACAAGTCACTCTTTCGATATCAGCAAATTCTCGAAGCATCCAATTTATTTGATGTTGTTCTTGAAAAATCCAATACAAAATGAAAGAAATTTTATTGAACGCCACATAAATGAATTGAATAGGTTGTAAAACTTACGGAATCCTTGTGAAGCAGTGATGCGATAAGGAACAATCACTTGCCCTTGCGCATTCCTTGGCCAACGGGCAGAAGCCCAAGTCGCACCAGTTCTAGAATTTCGACCTTCAGATTTGCCAAAAATGCGTTCCTTCTGTTCTGGTGTCATTTTCATATCTCCTTGAAATTTATCTCCAAACATTCCAACTCCGGGAGCCAAAGGTTTAGCTGAGATAAAAATACTCAAAGCAACAAGAATCACAAATTGAAGAAACTTTGCCATTTTTTCTGTAAGTAGGTTTAACAGTTTGGTGGCGAGTGCATATTTATGAACATGTAACTTGTTTATATAGTAAAATCATAGCAGCTTATCAGTTTTAAAAATACTTTCTGATAAGTTCCTCCAGAAAAAAACTGATAAGAGAAGAATTGATAAAAGCAATTAATTTAAAAAGATTAATAAAAATAAAATAATCCTTTTTTGATATCAACGCTTTTCTTTTATCGTTTTTATGGAGAATTCAATTAACTTTTCAATGTCTTTATTATAGGTATTTATAATATTTATATTAACTTCAAAACTAAAGATTATTCCAAACGATGGAATTGATATTTAAAGAAATTATACGATTCCTTTTCTATTTTTGTTAGTTTGAGATAAATGTTGTAACCAAGGATCGGAAGCAGAAGCGGAAACGGAAGCTGGAAGCTCAAAGAAGCTCATCTTTTTGAGAAGCGGAAGCGAGAAGCTTTTTGAGAATTTTCGGAAGCTGAAGCGGAAGCGAGAAGCTTTTATCAAAATTCTGAGAAGCCGAAGCGGAAGCTGGAAGCTTTTTGCGAAAAATCGTTAAGCTTCAAACCCCTGGTTGTAACGATAATCCGTGAAATAAGAAGAAGCCTGAGATAAAAAAGAGCTGCAAAAACTTCAACGCGACAAATTGAAAGACGCGTGTTCGAATCCCGTTGGAATAAAATTTAAGTAAA